TGATGATGTGCGTGCGTTTAGATTATTTTAAATCTAATTACGAATGGTAGATGATGAGTCAACTCCCTCAATGGTCAAATACTTGTTATTGGATAACGTAAACAAGAGTGGCGAAATGACTTCACTATTGGTCAAATTGGTGTCAAATTGCCGGTATTGGTGAAATTAATTTCACATATTGCACGATTGTGGCCAGCGTTTAAAATTGTCTTGTACAAGATGCACTTGTGTAAGAGCTTCAAAAAAATTTTTTTTTATTTGCAACTTACATTCGTGCAAGTCATTTTAGTTTTGAATTTTAAACACTGATTGTGACAAATGCTGGTGTGACTATTGCAAGAATTGACTGTATCTTACTCATAACTTTTTCATACGGATTTTTAACTAATTGATTATGCGTCTTTTATATCTATAAAAGTTGCTAAGCACATCTAAGCACAGATCCTTATAAATTATAGCTTACAATGGCACATCCAATAACTGGCAAACACAGAAATATAGAAATACTTTCACTATTCTATCTGTCTAATTCAGTAAATCTTTTGTATTACGAGGTTCTTGACATTAGATAAAAAAAAAAAAAAATTCACATCAGAAGATTATTAATAATATTAAATGCCTTATATTCGCTTTTATTTTTTTTAATCTATTCAATTTAATCTATTCAATATAAGTAGCAAGATAGTATATTCCTATGCATTTACTTTTCATCTCAACGGATCTTTTCAATAAATAATTACATTAAAAAATTTTCCACATCTTTAAAAGATTGGCATCATTTACGTTTTAAACTTTGATGTGCGATATATTTATTATATATGCAACCAATCTATTAATTAAACATTAATTACCGTATTACCGCGAAATAACGATTATTTCGAGGTCCGGCCCGAATTAAGCTTAATTTAGGCTGAAATTCATAATTTCACCCTGCGCGTTATTTCGCGGTAATACTGTATCAAACAAAGATATTGAAATTAAATTATATCATTAGTATTTATTGATATCTTATATAGTAGCAGATCATCTAAAGATGTCAAAAAACTGTAACTTCTCGATAAGTGTTTGGGAGATTCGCAAAATGGATGCGTAAATTTATAGTCTTAAATAAGGCATACAATGTTACGCTTTTTATTTTTGAAAAATTTCACTTATTCTTCGAGGAGATACAATTTTATAACAAAAACATAACACTAATTTTAAAGCTAATAGTCGGAAAGATACTGATTCGTGGTTAGATTAACATTATAACCTCGAAATACTAATTCTTATATGGCGCGACTTGGTGAACCAACTTTAAAAAATGGATAAATTTTTTACGTTGAGAGGTATATAAAAAGATGATTGCGCTATTTATTTGGGGTGTGCATTGTTACGGGGTGAATCGTATCCTTTTATCATGAAAATTCGAAAATAGATAGTTTTTAGGTGATAAGGCAACTCGCCAGAGGCGTGACGATGGTGATTTAGCAATAGTTTAGTTTAAAATGATATTATCAAGGTGATTTATTCAATGTTATAGGGTAATAGTATTAGAATCCCGTAGGACCTTACTTTACAAGAGAGAAATTACAGGGTTTTTATAACTTTCACTAATCTAACGATCTCAAGAGGCTTTGGGATAAATTAGATAAATCAGATCTTTCATCACGAAAGATTAAGGAAAGATCACTATAACTAAAGGGGCTTACAAAGATAAGTACAACATGATCATATTAATGAAGGCTTTGCCTTTACAATATTTTCTATTTTAACTATTTCTAATTATTCTTGATTCTTGTTTTCTTCTCTTTAGATCTTCATTCATTCTTCTTGGAATTCTTCTTCGGATTTCACGTTGGTTATCATTTCCGATATTTGATCAGTAAGCCTCATGCACTAGTAGATCTAGAATTCCGATGGTCGATCTGCTTGAAGTCATGAGTTTGCTGTGCCGATTCGTCGATCTTCTATTTAGCCCGTGACAATGCAGATCATAGTAGATTGAAGGGTAATATATAGTTATCCGGCACCTTACTATGATCGTACCAACAGAATAACCCGAGTTATTTTGATGATAATTGCATCATCATCACCAAAATAACTCGAGTCATTCTATATTATTGACACTTGGCGCGTATCTATTATCTATCGGCTTGGCACACATCGGTAGCTATATATGACAGAATATGAAAGCAATTAATATTTATCTAACTTTATTATGCCACATACATTTTATCAACTCCATTACTCCCACTATCTTCATTACCTTTTACACACTTATCTTCATTATTTCCAGTACTAGGATTACTTCCAATACTATTACTCTATATTAAAAAAGATATACAGTATATACAGTATAAAAGAGACTTTTTTTTTTTTGCCTAATTTCAAGTTTTCTACTGTACTTTATAGAATCTTGTATTCTTTTTGGTTTAATATCTCTTTTTTTTTTTTACAAACAAGATTATTATTATTATTTGTGTTTAATAGTATTTATATTTAGCAATAATGAACTATATACACTTTACTCCACTTTTTGATTTTTTTTTCTCTATAGTATAAATAATCTTGTTATTTTTGCTATATATATTAATAAAAAAAAAGACTACGTACGTATAACGCTACGTATAACAATATGCAAAAATACCTCATACTGTGATTTTTGAGATATTATTAAATAAGTTCCACAAATTAATAATTATATAACAACTAACGTACAGTATATATATACCGATACTGTATAATGCACTTTTATTTTAGCTTAGAAACTATGAAAGTATAACTCAACAAAAATAAACACAAAAAATTAGTAAAATTGCCTACTAAACATTCTAGGTATATAGCTAAATATAATTTATTTAAAGATTTTGCTTTAAAATTATTTATTGTTTATTATTATTATAAAAAAACAACCTAATTTGCAAAAATAATTAAGATTTTTATGTTTATTTCTGAAATCAAGCTATTTGAGCATTCGAATTTTGACACTAAGCTAATTTTTAAAGTTTCAGATAAAATCGAATAAGCTGGCTAAGCCGATAAATTTGTCGATTTAGTCATAGTCGATAAATAAAGATAACGATAATTACAAAACAAAAGAACAAAAGATATATGATTAAGATTATCAATCAATGATTTTTTTGTTAAATATCGGTACGTATCTGGTATAGGGGTCTAAGGTATTATGACACGTAAAAGATAACGTTTTATTTAAGCCCATGTGACTATGTGGCCAAGATGACACGTTTATTTAAACCCATGTGATTATGCAAAAATAATATTAAGAACACAGTTCTGTTTCACGATTAAAATACGAAACACAAATTGTTTGATAAAGGAATTAACTGTTAAAGGTACGGTACGTACAGCACATGTCTGATATGTATATATGTACAGTATATATGTGACAGGTAGATGTAAGTATGAACACATACGTACGTACGTACGTATCAACTAATACATGATCAAATGAAATGAATGAGATGATTGGTAGATTAATATGTTTAATACATTTTTTGTTGACGAAGAACCTAACCAGTCTTTCGTGAAGATAAAACTTTTTTCACAACTTCAACGACGACTTTTTTTGGAGCTCTAGCATTATCAAGGTTCAATTCTTTCATGATTTTTCCCAAATTCTTAATTCCAACATCACTTATATCCAATCGATCAATAACTTTTATAACTTCAAGTTCAATTTCTTGAACAGACATTTGTTCAGGTAAATAAGAATTCAAAATAAGTAACTCAGAAGATTCACTCTCTACGAGATCTAAACGATTAGCCTGAGTAAATTGAGTAATAGATTCTTGACGACGTTTAATTGCACGATTGATTATATTATAAATTTCATTATCAGAAGCAGAAAAAGATTTAGAGGTTGGCGATTTACTTGCATAAGTAATATCCGAAAGAAGACCCTAAAAAAGATGATTTGTAAAAAAGAGCCGGAACGAAAAGTGACAAAATAGAATAAAAAAGTATAAATACTCGAATGACATTCAATTTTAATTGATCTTTATTTTTCATCGCATTCTTTACATCATTTTTTAAACGTGAAAGAAGGGAACCATCCACATCTATAAACAAATTAAAATAAGTAAATAAAAAAAAAAAACACGAAAAAATATGATATAGGAAATTTTTAGAAAAACCTTTAGAAAGAAATCGAGAACGAAAATTATTGGATACAGAGAAAAGAAGATTAGAAGATCTTAACAGGGATCGGGATACAGGAAGTAAAAACATTAGACATTCTTAGAATCAAAAGATTTCTCAAAAAAAAAAAATTTTTAGGAAGTTGGTAAGACCAATAAGAAGAATGATTTGGTAACAGATAATCACATTAATCAACAGGTTGCATATGTAAATCAAGAGATTTAAAAGAGTAGATAAATGATTGGGACGTTAATATGAAACATGATGGTGAAACGAACGGAATTGCAAGTGCATGTGTGGCTTGTCAGAAATCTTTCTTTATAAATATTTTCGTGTTACTTAGAGATTAATTTTTTTCTCGCAACACAACTGATTCATACAATCTTCCAATTTTCCGACTGCAGCAAGATTTGATGACTACTGTATATAAATTTATTCTAGTTTTAGTTGCCAAAAATAAATATCCGAAAACTATTTTATTCCCGCGATACCGATACAGTATCTTCATATGAAGTCGCATGACAAAGTCTTATGACAAAGTCGCGCGGTATTCTTTCCGGTGTTATGACTTTTAGGATAAATGTGACTAAGTGGTGTTATGACTTTAGAAACAAGTGTGACGAATGTTATAATAGCAAGTGTGATGAGTGTTATGACTTTAGTAAATGACTGGCAGATGACTTCCACATGCAGTACAGCAGTAGGACTACAAATCATTGTAAGTTAACTGCGCTTTGTTTGTGTACTTGGCGTTTTAAATGATATCATTACTATGCAGCAGTTGTTAAGAACAGTCCGGTCATCGTATCAACTCCGTAACAGGTTTACGCGTAAAATGGTTATTGTTTCGCTATTTATCGGAGTATTAATTTATGTACTACTGTTTTTAACTATGTAATGGGTTAGCTTGAATTTACATTTTATTTTAATAATGATAAATATATTATTATAATTTATTATTTTTTATTATATTATCTCTTTATTATATTATCATTATTATTATTCTTATTATGCTATCATTATGTATGATTTATAATATTTTTATAAAAAATTGTTTGCTTAGAAAATCTTTCTATATCTGGATCCTTTCTTACCCTAAAATTTCAGTCTCGTTGTTCGCGCTCTGTCTCGCTTTTTTTAAAAGATTTTAAATTCTCTGATACAGTATAATAATATTTTTTAAAATACTATCTCATTTTTTCTTGTGTATCCTTACATATTATTAACCTTATATTTCTTCCTTCTTTTTTTTTTCTTCACTTTCCTTTCTTAAGTTTCACGTCTTTTTATCTTACTTCTTTCAACGCCACAATGAAATGGATCGGGCAAAGAAAATTGCATGCAGAAAATTTATTGGGAATAATCCGTTATGAAACTCATCATAATGGGCAATATTTGGAAATATATGGAGTATTAAAAAATATATATCGATAATGGGTTGCTGTATTTGAACATCTGTTCGATGATTTATACTATCGGACTGATGTGTAACATCGGACTGGTATTGGCTTTATTCTGGGTTTGCCAAATAGATTCATTCGTGAACCTTTGGTGATATTTATGGTATGGTACAAGACTACAATAAACACCCTGTTTTTTTGTTCTGCTCTAACCTCCCCCACTCAAATTACCGCTATTCTTTGAATAACCGCCCCCTCCGACAACGCTTCCACCTTTTTGTTTTTGCATCTTTTTCATTCTACTTTTTTTATTTTCGCGTCGCTTTGTCGACTATCGCGTGTTTTCCACTCTCAAATATCGTCCTCTGTGTTCGTCCCTTCTACCAACGCGGACTTCTTCTAATCTTTAACTTATATTTTACTTTTAATAGTGAGCCTGCGTTTTCGAAAGATCTCTTGTTAGACATGTTCTCTCTTCACTCATCATCAATTCTCTTTTAACCTCGTTCCTCGTCTCCTATTATTCTACTATAAAAACTATTCTTACTCGTTCCACCATCACGACGCCAGCTAATTTAATTATTTATTAACTTATACTTGACTCTTAAAAATAAAAAGGTCTCTTTTTGTATTTTTTATTTTATTTTATTTTTCTATTGCGTTGAAGGAGGTGCGGCTAGTTTCACGACTTTATTTATTACTAGAGATTATTTTTTCAATTCTAACCGCTTTAAATTATAAGGGACGCCACGTTATCATTGATTGTTTGACTTAGGCACTTATCATAACACGTGTATCTTAATTTATCTTTCGTGTGCCTTTTTCCTTTTTTTTTTTTTTCTTTTTTTTTTTTTGAATTCTTTTTATTAAAAAAAAAAAAAAAGAAAGGAAAAAACTTTTTTTTTTTTTTTATCATTGTAAGGTTTTATAAAAAAATTTTGAATGGCTTCAACTCAACTCTCTCAGTTTACTCACATGTTTTCAATTCCTTCAATTTCGAATAATCCTTCTGATACCTTATTCCCTCTTAATATTCCTTTATATAAAAATAATAAAATTCCCGGTCTTTCTAAATCATTGGAAACGCGAAAAGATCCTACTTTCTTAGATGTTAGAAATAATAATCTTGATAATATCTCTAGTTCTAGTTCTTCGCGATCTCTTCCACGCGTCGTTTTTAGTGCTAAATTTTCTCCTCAAAGACCTATTTCTCCTAGTGAGTTCTCATCAAGTCCCGCTTCATATAGTTCTGCTGAAGATGATATTGTTTCAAATGATCAAGATTCCAATGAGCAAGATGCAATATCACCCCTTGCATCTTTGGCCATAGTTGCAAGTAAGATTCATCATCATCCTTCTCCTGTTATCTCTGTTGCAAGTAGTGTAGCTTCTAGTCCTCCTTCAAGTCCTTGCCCTGCCAGTCCTCGTCGTTCTTCTAGAAAACCAAAACCAAGTAATCGTTCTAAAGATCAAATACTGGGCAAACGACGTTTATCTGGTCCTGCTACACGTCTAAGAAAACATACATCTATTATTTCTGAAGATGATGAAAAGGAAATTTATTATCGTGAGCGTGCCGCTCCAATACTTGCAGTTCTTGATGCTCCTTATACTAGACCAAGACGTATTCCATTAACTAATGCTCATGGTGTCATTGGTTGTGGTGGTTATAATCCTATTCCTTCAAAAAATCCTAATTATCCCGTTCCTCCTTCAAAAACTGCCATAATGTCAACTTGGTCTCCTTATCAACGTAAAATTTTCCTCGCTTCTTATTTAGAGCATGGAAAAGATTTTGGTTTGATTGGTAAAAAAGTACATAAAACTACTGCTGAAGTCGTAGAGTTTTATTATCTAATTAAACATACTCCTGAATTCAGAATGGCAAAATCTATGAAGAAAGAATTGGAACTATATGAAGAAGACCTTAATAAATTCGATGCTCAGGTAAAAGGTCTTGCTAAATTGGCCCATGGGAAAAAAGGTGGTCGAAAAAAGAAGGCAGTTCGTATTTGATTCTTTTTCAAAATTTTTGGGTTTGGACATTTATATATATATATATATATTATACACATAAATTATATACACTTTTACATAAAATGCCGACCGGCTTGGCAAAAAAAAATTACCGTTCGTTTGTAGTTTATTTTTGTATTCCATAATATCACGATTTAATCCTTAGAAATTTCTTTCTATTTAATTATTTTTGGTTTCATTCGTTTCTTTTTTTCTTTAATTCTTTTTAGGATATTATTGATTTTCATCTTGCTTTAATTTGTTTTAATATTTTTTTTTTCTTGTATTTATGTACACTTGTAACTTTTTTAGATTTATACATAGAGGTCTTTGTACATTAAGCCTCATCAAAAAAAAATTTTTTTTATTATTATCGTTATTATTGTTTTTCTTTTATATGCATGATCAAAAATTTTTTTCTTGTTCTTTTTTTTTTCTTTTAAATATATTTATTACATTATTTATTTATTCCCTTTTATCAAATCATTTAAAATTTCTAGGATATTTGTGCATGTTTTATGATGGTGAGCGGATGGTAAAAAACGATGCCAGGAATATATATATATAGATTTATTGCTAGCATAAAAAAAAAATAGGATTTGAAAAAAAGGAAGTGGTTCTGATCAGAGTTGAGCAAGTCGTTACGTTACGTTATTACCATTTACTTTTCATTTATTCATCCTACCTAATAAAAAAAAAAAAAATTTCAATCTTTTTTTTACCAATTTATCTTAAGTCTATTTTTAAATTCGGAATTTTTATTCTCTTTGGAAACTTTTATAATCCAAAGACACGTGAAAATTTTGAATTGCATTAACGTTTTACATATACCGTACGTATCATTATTTTAAAAAAATTTTTGTATATATATATATATATATTGTGTAAAAATTATATGTAAAAAAAAAATTCTTTTAAATATATACGTACAGTATATACACTATTAAAAAACTTAATACATATATCTGATATAATTATTTTCATGTTAATTAATATACTGTAATTTATTAATTTGATATAGTTATTATTACTCTTAAAATGATTAATTTAGGGTCTGATTAAAAAGGCTAATTTCACCGATCTGCCGAAATGTTTATATTATCTACCGGTAATATCTTAAATTTAAATAGCTAATTTTATACTTTCAATTTGGCATGCCTAATAAGACTTTGCTTATACTGTATTTTTACTAGCAACTTTTAAAAATTTATATTTTAAGCTATGTAGTTGTCTTTATTATATTAAATAAGTATTTCAAATTTGTATACTACTGTATAATTAGTTAATTTTTTTTTTTTTAATGTTAAGGTGACCACTTAGGCCCTTGGCACAATTGGGTAGGCCATTGTCAAGAAGACCGGCCATGCATATTATATTAGTATCACAAGAGTACAACTAGTTACATGTACAACTTTTGGTTGTTTAATTTAAATAGTTTGCCCAGAGTATTAGTGCTATGCTAAGGGTTTTATACTAGATGCCATACCTATAGCCTAACTAGAAAGCTATCTATTTTAAATTTTGGCTTCTACCAGTGCTACATGTTTTTTTCTAATATACCCCTTCACAGAGTAATTTACCAAATAAGACTCTAAGACTTTAGCCACCAATCTAATTTGAAAAATATTTATCCTTGTAGTAAACCTAACAGAATAGTGTATGTCCCACACATGCATCTGTATGTTTGGTAACTTCTTACTAACTAATACCTGTTGTGCTACTATTACCAAGTTTGTATTTTAAGTCAACTTTTGAAGTGTTGCTGTAACCTGATTCATATCTTAAGCTAAAACCTTTCTAATTAGTTGTCTATTACTTACTTTTGCCTTTATAAGGTTTACAACAACCCTGATACTCATATTCTAACTATCTTTTTACTCAAATTTTTTATTAGTTTCTCTCTTACTTCTAGCTAGCAACCTGGAAGAGTTGGTTTGCCCAGGCTTTAAATACCTTATAATTGCTCTCCTCTTGGTTCATACTTTTAGAATATATGATCTTTTTCTTCAATATATCTAATATCTGGCAATTTGGTCAATATATCTTTCTACTTAAGAACCTGATTGCTTGGTTTTTCAATCTCAGGTTTTAGTTCAAATTCAGCCTTTTTGTAGTACCATTAAAGATCACTGCTATACTCAATTTAGAACTTCTCAAACAGGTTTCAATCTCTAGTTTTGTAGTTAATACAGTAACATAGTTGCTAATGCATATATAAATTTGTGATATACTATTAAATTTTTTGGTATATAGGTGCATCTAGTAGTATACCATATTAAAAAATATTAATATTAAAAATTAAATTTTTGTTTATAAATATAATAATTTCTATAAAATTATAAATTTAATTTTTTTGAATAATTATATTAATTATCTATATATTAAATCTATAAAATTTACAAAAATTAATAATTTAACTATGTTATATTTAAAATATTATTATTAAGACCTTAAGAATTAAAATTAATAAATTACAAATTAACTTATTTTAAAAGTAGATAAGAGTTTAAAAGACTTTATTCATTTTGGTTGATCTTTAGTATAACTAGGCAATATAGAATTATTATAAGATTATAATATAAATAAATAACTATTTAGTCTAATTTAAACAAATTTAGGAATAGTTAGGGTTAGGAAGAGTTTATAGTTTATATTAAAGTTAGCTTAGGGTTAGGGCTACAGTTTTTTTATATTATAATCTTATAATATTTCTATATTGCCTAGTTATACTAAAAAAAACTTATATTTTTGCTATAAAATATCAAATCAGAAGTTATATCTGGTAATAAAATTAGCTTTTTTGTAATAGTTATATTCTGAACAGTTGGGTATAAGTAGAGCTGAAAGTTCCACTTATATACAGTATATAGTGTTTAGGATATAACTAATTTATACTCTGTGATCTTGATATAGTAATCAAAGTATAATGAAAAAATATCATCTAGTAAGCAGTTATATAAATATATTGAGATTAAATTATAATTAAAGTAATTTTAATCGATCAATTAAGCTTGTTATTAAAATAAATAAAATAATTTATTATTTAAAAGAAAAAATTTAAATAGTAAAAAATAATAAATTAGTTTGTCATTTCAGTCAAAAAAATTTTTTTTGCCCTAACTTATTAAAACTTTATAAATATTATAATAAATAAAGTATTACTTAAGTGTTTTTATATTTTTATTATAGATATTCATTATTATATATATATTTTGCTAAATTTTCAATAAACTATTTAGAATCTTCTCAAGTTATTATTTAGATCTTTATTTTGACCTAATGTTGCAATTAAGCATTACTACAATTATTAAAAAATCACAGTAATAGAAATTTCAAAGTTATCAAATATGTGATGTATTTTAAAAATAAATAAAGATTTTCTAATTTTAACTTTGAAACCCTCTAATAGCAATGCTTGAGCATATTTCAATTATATCATTATTCGTATTATCTAAAATATTATAGCTAATAAGGGCAGTGTCATTTATCATCTGATTTTTTTTTATTAAAGGCTTACCTTCACTTCTAGTTTTTAATATATAAATTATCAGGTCTTATATATATAATTTTAATTTTTTTAATCCTCTTCCTTTCTAGAAAATTATCTAATAATTGTCAGCTTCCTAACTAAAATTACGTATATACTATTTAGATCACTATAAAATCACATCTAGGTTGATGCTTGAGAATACTCTAAATAAGAAGCAAGAGCTTATATTAATATTTAGATCAATAAATAATTGTTATAATTATTTAAACCTTTATTTTAATTGATGATCCACCAGTCATCTGGATAAAATGATCTACAATTACTATATAATATATGATACAAATTAATTAATGAAAATCCCAATTTGTAAATATACAGATTTTACTATATAATATATAATATATACTGTACCATTATCATTCTATATATCTCTTTGTCTGTAACACAGGCAAATTTGCCTGCGTTTTTTAAAATTCTTAATAAAGCTTAAATATTAATTTTAGCTATATCTTTTCTAAGTAAAAAATATATTTTTAGTTTTGTTTTAATAACTTTGTT